TTGGCACTGAATTAATAAATTAATTCTCGAGAATAGATTGTTCAGATATTTGGACATGAGAATTTATGAGAAAGAAAGAAAGAGAGAGAGAGAGAGAGAGAGAGAGAGAGAGAGAGAGAGAGAGAGACAGGGAGAAATTATATGAGATGACGGACGATTCCGCAGTATGAACACCTCACCTCCTACGTCTTCTTTTCCAACACTTTATAAAAATTTTGATGGCTTTGTTCTCTCCTTTATTTTTTCTTGTCACACACAACACAAATAAACTATTAGATGATATATATAATAGAAAAACTATTTTTAGAAAAAAAAAAAAAATAAATAAAAATAATTCAAATAAATCTTTTTAGTTTTTATGTCACACTCACACACATACACCCAATTATCCATATACAAGAGTGTGTCATCATCAACATGCGATCGCGTATACATACATATAACTGTGTACGATATCTGTGCTTAGGTGATAGTTTTCAATTTTTCATTTCAACAATGTGCGTGGAACGTAGCCTATATGAACGTCAATTTATTATGTTCGTGTTCGTTTTTTGTTATTATTGTTATTTTTTTTATTTTTTTTTTGATTTTTTGATTTTTTTTTTTTTTTTTTTTTTGATTTTTCTAATTTGCACAAATAAACAAACAACTACGTATGCGTATGGCTTAAAAGAAAGATCATGACTACGATATATTTGAATTTGTAAACATTATATTCGCGCAATAACTTAACAGCTTAAGATCAATAACTTAAGCGTTTTGACGAGTGGCTAGATTTCTTTTTCATGTCGACAATCGTGCACGATGTGAGCAAGTAGATGAGATATTTCTTCTTTCATTTGTAAAATTCAATGAAATTTTCAAATATTTTTGTGTGAACAGTGTAAGGTAACGAGCCGATTTGAACCCATCTGTCCATAGGTCCGTTTTATTGTTGTGCCTGTTGTTGTTTTGTAATGTGGGAAATATTGACGTCTTAAAAATTGAGATAGAATGCTAAAATCGTTTATATGCATAGAGATAATGACGGCATATCAATCTCGTCCCTCCACCCATCCATCAATGTAAACTTCTTCATACCGCCTAGAAATGCAAAATTTTCGAATAGAAAATTTCGGGAAGAACAATTTGAAACTTAGTTAATGAGCATAAATAAACGAGATTTGAAACTGAGCGGCATCCGTCTACAAACGCTGCCGCCCGAACTGCCAGACCCACACTCGCCTACAATTAATGAAACGCTTAGAAATTTATATACATTGGCTTGAGGTAATCAGCAGGAGTAACCGATGAAAAATTCACCGCAAAATGAATGTAACTTTCTTTACGAGATAGATTACTTCGAAACTTATTGCTTATGCTTGCTGGTATTTAAACGCGCTGCTCATTGTTGTTATTGTTATTAATCAATTAAAATTACATTCTGTTTGATGTTGGAGAATTTTAACTAAAGTGGAGTTAAATTTTATGATTTATTTATTATTTTATTTTTTTACGCGGTCGGTCCACCCCTTTTTCTATATTTTCTAACAATTGCTATTATAAAATCGTTGACGCTTAAAGTCTCTAGATGTTCGCTTGTCGTTATAAAAATTTTTTTAAAAAAGTTACCAACAACTCTTGTTCGGTTTGTTTGATTCATTGTGTTTTATATTTTTCTGTAGAAACTTCAAAGGGCGTTAATGTTGACTGTTTGTTAAAGTTATTGTTAGGTATTGATTTTTTTTTTTCTTTTTTTTTTAAATTTTTTTTGCTGCTGCTGCTGCTGCTGCGGTTTTTTTGTTTTGTTGTTGTAAATCTTGTACACACAAGTTAACAAAAATTATATTTGCTTTGAAAAGCGAGTGCTTGCACAGCGATTTGCATTTAACTGTTTTTGCTTTTTTTTTTATATTTTTCCTCATTTTGCTTGATACCCGTTTGTATCAAGTTGTCTTCGTTCGATTTTTGGGAGATTGCAAGAACAGTTTTATATTCGAGATTCGTTTTTATATTTTCATAAATATATAGAACTTTTTTTCTTTTGTTTTGTTATTTTTTTCTTTTTTTTTTTTAATTATAATAGTAGTAAAGAAACGCTGGTCTATCGAAAGGCGGCCAACACATGTCACTTTGTTTTTTACCATTAGCAAATTATTAGCAGCTTTCACTTTTAACTTGAATGCCCTTTCATGCAAACGTATATATATATATATATATATATATATATACATATATGTATACGCACACGCTTACACGCACGCATGCTGTGCATCTCTTATCCCGTAACCATAAAACCCAACCATATGTATAACAAAAATGTCCCGTGTTTGACGATCTCATTCTTTCTCTCTCTCTCTCTCTCTCTCTCTCTCTCTCTTTCTCTTTCTCTTTCGCTGTGTTTTAATGACAAGCATTCGCCTGAACCATTAGTCGTTTGCCAAAGTTCAAACCACTATGCATACATGTATTGATGCATGGCTTTGTATAAGTAAGCCTTTGTAAATACTTTAAAATGAGAAAAAGGTTAAAATACGAGTATAAATTTGTACATAGAGAAGAGGTAAGTGGGTATAAAAGCATAAAGTATAACAATAAACAACGTCACATGCCGGTGTTTTTATTTTCTATTTTGATCTGTTGTTTTAATGCTTCTCAGGGTCTCATTCTCTCATCTTTTTGTCATCTCATCATCTCATCATTCCTTATTTATGTTGGTCAACCAAGAAATTTTTGCCTTTTAAAGGAAAATGTTGCCGTTGCCGTTGCCGTTGCCGTTGCTGTTGTTGTTGCTGTTGCTGTTGCTATTGCTGTTGTTGTAAATTGTATTATAATAAATCCTTCCGCCCTAGCGTTGCTTTTATTTTATGTTTTATAACAAAATGCCACCACTTGCCATTGTAGAAATTTTTAATTGTATAAGTCTTGTTAAGCATTGTTAGAGAGATTACAACTCAAAATCCCTCTCTCCGCGCTCTGAATCTATAAATGGTGTAGAACGGTATTAACATTTTGCTCATAATTTTAACAAAAATTATGAATATTTACTTGAAATTGATTTCATATTCAAGAGGCAATGGAACGAACAGAACGTTAAACAACAATTTTTATTGAACGTAGTAAACATTTTAATGACTTGGCCGTCAATTTCTTAAAACTCTTTATTTATGAAAGGACAGTTTGATGAAAAACGACTCAGACATGTATTTAAATGTCTACAAGTATTTATGGGTGCTGATGATGAGATGATTTCCTTTTCTTTTTCGTCTTCGTCTATGTCTTCGTCTTTTTCTTCTTCTTGTTTTTTTTTTAAACAAAATTTTTATTTAATTTTTAAGTGTAAATGCAACAACATACGCGTCAAACTTGTATCGCATCGTATACGTATATGCGTCGTATGGATGCAATTTGTGCAAGTACGCTGACATACGCGCACTTGTATGCGAATATATCTGTGACATTTTTGTTGTTATTATTATTCTTATTATTATTGTTGCTGCTGTTCTTGTTTTTTACTTTTGTTGTTGTTGCTATTATTATTATTGTTGTTATTATTGTTGTTGTTAGTGTTGTTATTGTAACGTTATTATCTATAAACTGGATCTTTGCCAAAAATCGACATCAAGATATTTGTTTGTTGTTGCTATCATTGTTTCTATGTTGATTCGTATAATTTCAAGTGTTTTTTTGTAAATTATTTTTGATTTCTATATAATATCGAGTATAGAGAGAAGAAGAACATAATAATGTACAATGAGTATAATAGTTAGCTGAATAGACAGACATATAAGAAACAGGCAGACAGACTTTTAGATATGCATGCGGGCTATTTTGGTTCACTTTTCATATATATATATATATATATATATATAAAATAAATAAAAATAATATGAAAAAAAAATATATATAAAAAAAATTTGGCCATCGCTAGTATGTGAAGGCATTTTTTCTGCTCGGTTTAGTTTAGTTTTGTTTGGTATAAGTTTGATTTAATTATTGAGTAAATGAAATTTTTTTCTGGCGTGTAGACAGATATCAATTTTTACAAATTTGCGCGTTTGTTTCTTTAATTAACGGTAATATTAACATTTTTAATTACTTTCATGTTAATTGGTTCAGTATTTTCAAATTGATCCAATTTCAGTCGATGGAAAATCGCCTGCTTTTTGTTTTATTTTATTCTCTTTTTCAAAACTGTTTTTCATTTTGCTTTTTTATTTATTTATTTATTTATTTATTTATTTTTTTTACATTAGACAGAATTAGTTTTAATTGTGCTCGTTTCGTCTGTTTCTATGTAAATTGCTTCGATTATACATAAATAAAAATGTAAATATTAACTTTTATTATTAACCCATTGTTTGCGTTCATACTTCTCCCTATCTCGCTGACTGTTTTATTTTATTAAATTTTTTTTTCATCAACATACGCGTATGCATGCTATGCATGGTTTCCTGTATTCACAATGCGCTGTGTTTATAAGTGCGTGCAAATAAAACGTTTGTCTTTGCGAACCTAGATTGTAACTTGCATACCTATGTGATGCGGTGATGGAGAGCTCAGTGATGGTTGACGGCGGTGCGCCGTCACAAGACTTTTTTAAATAATGGAAAAATATTTGCAACATTTTAAATTAGAAGAAAAAAAAAAACAAAGGAATAAAAATACAGGGCTCTCTAGAAATTTTAAAATTACACTTCGATTTCTTCCATACTTAAAGGATACACTTTAATCCTTTTTACACTTCATGCTCCTTGGCAGAGGGGATTATTCTTATCAAAAAAAAAAAAAAAAATGAGGGGAACCTAAGGGCCAGAAATGTGCGCAACAAGATCAACGAGGCGAAGAATTAAGATTTTTCAAAATTTAATACCATCAAGTACATCGAGTTCAATATTTGGTTACATTCATGAAAATTTGATTTTGTTTCGCTTCGGCAATTAAAAAAGGCAAAAAAAAAAAATGCTTGAGTGGAAAACTCGAAACAAATATTGAAACAAATATTATCATATTTAGCTTACCTTTCTTGGGTATTAACGATTTGAGTAGCATAACGGCATTATCATCGCATGACCAGGCATGCATTTTGCGATAGCTGTCACGTCCCTTCTCGGTGAGCTTTTCCCATGGCTTGGGTTTCGACAGCAACTCGGATACGGTACCCTGCGATAAGCCTAAGATGTATTTGGCAAATATGCGTTGACCGATGTTGTGAACTGATAGCAGCTCCCTGACACGCCGTGAGATGTGCATAGTGTCGAGGTTTTGATTTGCATATTTATCCATATTGTAGCGAAGCATTTCTTGTAATTTAGCCTCCATCGGATCGCCTTTGGGTATGAGGGATTCTCCTAAACGGCCAGCCATTGACGTACCAGGCGGCAGTTGCAGTTCATCGGCGAAACGAAAGTGTCCTCGATCTTGAAATTGGAATGGTAGACCGGGCAGGAAGCTGTGTGGAAGGTGATGAGGTCCTATAGGATTTGTAGGTGTGGCGCATAGGTTGCTATTGTTATCGTCGAGCGACTTATGAGATCCGTTTAACGATAGGCCGTGCTCATCGTTAGACCGTTGATCTTGCAGATTTGGCGTACTGGCGCTGGATGCTGACATTGAATCTTGTTGATTGAGACCAATTTTTTCATGATGATCGGTTATGTGCGATGGCAATTGATGGTTTGGCGGCATATGCTGTAAAGTATCTGTTGAACGAAGAATGGAAGAATTCGTTTGAGTACTGGTTTGTTGTGCAAAAGTGGAATTAACTAATTGACTAAGCAGTGCAGTGGACGAATGCCCTTGCTGCGGCTGTTGTTGCTGCTGCTGTTGTTGTTGTTGCTGCAATTGGTGATGTGTTAGCAATTGCTGTTGCTGTTGTTGATGCTGATGATGATGACTACGATGCTGTTGTTGCTGCAGTTGATTATGCTGATGGACGGCTTGTTGCAACAGTATATTCTGTTGTTGTTGATGCTGAGGTTGATGATGATGTTGATTCTGATGTTGATGCTGATGCTGAGTAATATTGGCAACATTTGTATATAAGGATTTCGACGCGTTGGCATTGAGGGTTATATCAAAACTTCTTCTCCAATAAGAATTAACCAATTCTTCTCCTAGCAATGAACCGAAACGTTCAACGTTCTCTTTAAAATTGGCTGAGGAAAGCTCGTCATTCTCTGTCGAAGATGGCTTCTCAACGTCTGATTTTAATAAACACGTCTCTTTCATCGATCTTGGCACATTTGTAAAAGATTCTAACTGTTTGGTTAAGCTCCCGGTGTTTTCAATATTTTTCGCGCTTTCGTCTAGATCTACTTCGATTTTCGGTACTTTAGTCGCTTCTACATGTTGCTCAACGTCATCGCCGGGCTTAGCTATGTCTTGAACAATACGATCGGTTGCGATTTCTGTGAAGCAAACGAGCACAAAAACACCAATTTGGGTTTGTATGTTTGTTTGTTTGTTTATTTGTTGATTTATTTGTTTGAAGGAAATGAGCAAGTCAACGCAACGATTATGGAATATATATATATATATATATATATATATATATATATATATACATATATATACATATGGAAAAATGTAGTACAACACAGAAAAGAACTGATAAATACGTTTGTTGCCAATCATCATACAATAGTAATAAACAATTTTAATTTCGATTAGCAGCGATATGTGATAAGTAATATACTCATGCAGTCATTTTTCTTCTGTTTCTTTTGTGTTGTTCTGTTTTTTTTTTTTTTTCGATTTATTGTGTTTTTTGTCTTTTTTTTAAGATAAGATTGCTTTATAAGAAGTTAAGTTAGGAAAGTACTGGCGCGCGCCACTTTGATACCAGCCCGTTTGCGTGTGCAGAAAAGTGTGCATGTATTTGTGTTCATAAACAAATATTTATGATATTTATTAAAAGGGAAAACTGAACCACACCAATAAAGTCAACAACAACGACAGCCATAAGCTATGAATAATATTTCGCTTTTGGTTTATCGATAATTGTAAAAATAGCGCGGGAAAAATAATTAAAGGAAAAAAATGATGGCATAAATGAACATACGGCCATAAGCTTACCATCAGAACTCTTTAGGGTCTCAGCAGCCACTAATGCTTTGGTTCTTTCCATTAATAATTCTTGGAATTTATTCGGATCATTATTGCAAGCTGCAGCTGCAGCGGCCGCGGCAGCAATCGCGTTTTGTTGGCTTATAGCGTCTAAGCTTAATGGACTTCTGCGTAAATGCAACCGCCAGCATTTCAAAATGAAGAAGAGAAGAAACGTTGTACGAATAAATAATTATTGTTAACTTTTAAATTTAATTTTGGAGAGAAAAGGTCATCGCTTCAAACACTTTACTTACTGCGTTTCCTTTTTGATATCGATTTCACTGATATTCTCAGTCAATTTAGTGCATTCGTCATCTTCGTTTTGATCGTCGTCGAGAGTTTCTACATTTTTTTCCGTATGAAAAATTTCTTTGGGGTCATCCGCATTCGTTTCCTTTGCATTTGACACATTTTTCATTTGCAGTATCTGCGAATCGGACTCAGATGGCGAACTAACTTCGATTAGAGGATAAAGTTTTTCTTGTTTATCCAAATGGTTCTCCAACCGCATTATATGTTGACGCTTAGCTTCTAAATGCTCTTCAAGTCTGCGAATTTGTAACAAATGCGTTTGTTCTATTGCTCTTAACCGCTTAACTTCATCGAAAAGGGCGTCAATCTAAAGCATAAGGTAGAGAAAGGAGGAAAGTATCGATTAACGTCTAATAATAAATAATTATATATTCTAAGTTGTCATATTTTGTTTCGTCTGAGATCGAGAAAGTTTTTATGAAATTTTCAGTTTAATCACTTGAACATACACGTGAAATATAAATAAATAAAAGTTGGTTGGCTGGTTACATATAGAAAATATTTATTTGTATGCGTGTGTATGTGTGTATGTGTTTATGTGTTTGGAGGTCTATCTGATTGGTGTTGTCATTAAAAAATTTACTGAAGAAAACTTTGTCTTTCTTCAATACCACCAAACTACGTACTCATTCACACAGAGACCGAGAGAGAGAGAGAGAGAGAGAGAGAGAGAGAGAGAGAGAGAGGCACACGCACGCACGCAGACCGAAAATATGCACATGTGTCGCTGTGTAATACGTTTTATTCTTGTTAAAAAGTTTACTTTTTGATTCGAAAATTCTTTACGATAAAATAATTCGTCCTCCCCTCCGCTCCCCAAAAATTTCGTTCACAGTTCAGTTCGTCTAATAACTGCACCCAAGAACTTTCCCTTGTCAAATTTGCCAATTATCATATTTTCATCAACAAACTCCGAAAATTGTTTAAAAACTTCCTGTGTTCACCTTTCAGCTCATATTCGCTTATATTCATATTGCAAACATACTCATGCCTATCAACGTATACATGCATATACATAAATATATATACACACACACACACATATACACATATGACGTAAACAAATAATAAAATCACGGCTTTCTTAATATTGTCTTGTCTTGTATTTGTTTTGTAATACATGCATGCATGTGGATGTATGTAAGAAGAAATCATATAATAACTTTAATATGATCATAAACATGGGTGATTGTTATTGTTGTTGATTTTTACCCTTATGTTAATTTTATTAAAAATATTTTATTCCATAACATATATTGATGAGCTCTTGCTGCTTATATTAAAAAATACATAGAGAGAAGGACAGACGGTACAGCAGTTTTGTAATTCGAAGCATTTTTCCTTCATACGAAAATTGAGAAAATATATTATTTTGCTTAGTGATAGTAGCTTAAATAAATACAAAAACACACGCACATATACATGTATATTTCGTGTTTTCAATGACATGTAAGCAATAGATTCAATTTTGTTATAAAAAGATTGTAGTTTCGATGGTTGTTGTTATTGTTATTGCTATTGTTGCGGGCTTTTGTCTATTGTTTGTGCAGTTATTTCATTATAACATACTCAGATTTTATAACACCTGAAATATGATTATATATATAAAATTCTATATTACTAAACAATAGAAAATATTAGTGACAGACGTACAGATACACAGAGACAGTTTGTTGATAAGAGAGAGGGAGGGAGAATGGAAAGAAGACCGATATTAAGATAGAGAGAGAGAAAGAGAAAGAGAGAGAGAGAGAGAGAGAGAGAGAGAGCGAGAAAGAGAAAGAAAAAAGAATAAAAGAAAGAAAGAAAGAAAGAGAGAGCGAGAGAGAGAGAGAGGGTGAGAAATAGAAAGGGTAAAAAACTTGTGGTTGTTAGCTTTTGAAATGAGCCGTTAAACGTTTCAATGCAAAAAACAATCAATAAACAATAATTTCGCGTGTCTTTGTCACATAAGTTACACATGCAAATTTTTTTTCTTATTTTAGTACACACACGCACACATACACGCGCCAACACAAACTTAGATATGCTCACATTTGTTGCGAATGTTAACACAAAATGAAAATGTCATTAAAATCGGTTCACGTACAACCAACCATTTCTTCATATTTGTATAATCAAATACGTATTTGCAAATATATGTAGCTATGTAAATTCTTTTAATGATTCGCCTATGGATACATGTAAATATATATATTTATTTGTGTGCGACAGGACACAGCTAACCCAAGGTACTCATCTAGAGCTCATTTTTTTTTGTTTGTTTACGATTTCTGATTATCGAGAATATGCTATAATGTATATAATGTATTTCCAATTCTCCAAAATCGCAAATATTCATATTTTTAATATGCTTATATCGAAGAGAAGGGCCAAAGAAAAAGTTCGTGGCATTTTGTCCGCAAATAATTTTACAATCGCGTAACTTTGGCACTATCCTCATTAGTGTGGATGTGTAAGATATGATAGCTCCCAGCTAATTAAAAAGAAAAGCAACGACTGTGATGTTTAATGGAATATCATTTTCCATTAAAACTGTTCCCGCGGATTCTTTTCTTGCTAAGCTTTTCAGTATAGCACGATTTCCAGAATTAACGCATTGCTGCTTTTGGGCATTGATTTGTTTTAGCACAAAATGTTAATCTTAAATTCCCACTGGTGAAGCTCGTGAGACCTAGTTTAAGTTAGTTAAATAACTTTTATACGGTATTCGGCTCGCATGGAGTCAAAGTTGTTTCTCGTTTCCGTTTCTTCTAGGGTACTAGGTAGAGCTAACTACAATGTAGATATCATTTAATTGTAATAAGCCTAGAAGGGCAGAAATCTGGATGAGGGCAAATCATTTCAAAGCGGCTGATTTCCAATTACAAATCGATATTCTTCTTCCTTTTGACTGGCATGAAGAGCTACGAAGCAAACATGTCCCGCAGAGGACACTGTGGGAAGAATTGTAAGAAAATGGTATTTAAGAGCAAAGCTAGGAGGGGCCAACAACAAGCATGTAGTATAAGAAAGAAATATTGAATAAAAGTAATCAACTATTATGATTACGGTGGATGGACTAGTACGGCGTTTTTCAACGACATGTCCCATTTTAAGTTTCAGTTCTCATATATGGTTCGACATACGCTCGTACGACGTAATCAAATAGTGAAAATGTATTATGAAAAATGTACACAAAGATTATTCCGAGTGGTGAGGCTTAGTGCAATTCATCCGGGTATGTATAGAATCAAAATTGTCGCATCTAGGGCTCTGAGAACTCTAGAGACGTGATCAAATATCCGCTCTAATCACAATAAATGGGCGTTTATAGCGATTTTTGAAAGGAGAACTGCTACGTCCCGGACATTAGTTAAATGAACTGTCGTAAGACCAGAGATCTGACCAGAAGTCCGATTCGTATCGTTCCCTCCTCCGTTTATCGGCTATATTATAAGGCCAGCCTTTTCTTCAATTATTATAAGGCCTTTGAAGCTTCCAACACACAGATCTTCTTCTGGGTAAACCTGGGATTTCGTGAGAAATTTTCGAACATTGGTCCTTGTTAACTGAATTAAGTTTTGAAATAAAACACTTTAATCTGATATCCGGTTACGTTGTGCATTTCTGTATACTAGGCGCTTTGGATAATCTGCCTATACGTGTTTATATCGCGCTACTCCTGTTGCGCATTAAAATGTTTCTTGAAGGCGTAGAAAAAAGCTTAGAGGTCGCCAAAAACTATACATAAATTACTGATTAGTGTAAATGGTAGCGGAATCGATTTAACTATTAGTTGGCTGATAACCAATATATTTTCGCATAAATTGTGTGTTAGTTGAAAATGATAAAGTTGAACTGTAGTTTGGCCAACTGTTCGCTTGTTAGGCTGATTCATTGAATATCTCGCTGATCAAGAAGTTAAACTTATAAGGTATTAAATATCTTTTTGTATGGTTTTATATTAATGATACGATAAAATTAGCATACCTCATGTCCCCAATGGTCGATATAAGATATATATGTGTGTGTTTATGCATAACCAAAGACTTGAGATATGGAAGACATTTGCTTAAAAAGGGGGTGCAAACTTCTTCATGTAATTAATTGAATAAAATTTGTCTTTGCATACATACCTATAATATATGTATACATATATATATATATATATATATATATATATATATATATATATGTGTGTGTATATATAGTATAGTAGCGAAATAAGTGATGTACGATTTTAGAAATCCTTGATTATAGGTTTTGCATAGATTTTTTGCTTTTGAAGTGAAATAAAGCAAAACAAAAGCGTTCTAATTAGATATTGACTGACAATCTATCTTGTGTGTAGACTGATGACGAATGTTGTTTCAAAAACCCTTTCCTTCAATTTTTAATTATAAAACTTTTTCTTAGCTGTCGTCAACACACTCTCAACTGTTTTCCTAAAGCTAAGAAATAATCAAACAATCAATGAGTTTTGTATTATGATTTCAAATATGAATGAATTAAGGGATCTTTCTTTGTTTTTCATCTATCTCACCATCGAACGCAAGGCGGCAATCATCGAATGAAGGTTTGGTTGGCTTTGCAGATTTTTGTATTTTTCGACGCTACAGATGGATGGAGAAAGACGAAAAACAAAAAAAAAAAAATACAATTTCAATGTAAAGAAACGTTAACTATGGTGAAAAATGTTGCGAAGGCTTCTGCAATTTCAGTTTGATTCAATTGAATTGAAAGTAATGTTATTTTAGCAAACAGAGTCTTAGTTGATTAACATCACATCCAACATCACATTTAAAATGATGGAAATATTTACAAACATTATTTAGCCGTACAATATTGTTTTAGCCATAATAGTTTTGTTTAGTTAAACTTAATCAAAAAAAAAAAACTAAGAGAGAAAAAAAAATAAACTTATTTATGCAAAGTAAAGGCAGAGAGAAAAGTCGCTCTGGTAGTCTTGATAATTGTTTAATTAGAGCTTACTCGTAATGCGTGCAATTTCTTAAAAGCAACTGTACGCTGTTTGCAGTACATCTCACTCAACAGGCAAACTGCGCATAACTTAATTAAAGAAAACTTAAATTCAACCCCAAATTATTTAGAAAAACTGACACTCGCTACAAAAATGAGTTGATTCTTAAAAAAGCTTTTAGGCTTATTTATTTACAACTGGATAAAACTCTAAAGCACCCATCATCCAGGCACACATTAAATAATTTACATATGAGTATGTAGGCGAATGTGTACTTCAGAGAACACTTAAACAATCAGAAATCAATGATATTGTCACAGAGACTTTTGTCTTTTTTTTTATTT